GCTGCCCCTGCCCCGCTCGGCGTCTGGGGGAGGAAAATAAGAAGACAACTTGGTAGGCGGCTCGCTGCGGCAGGCACGTTGGTTTGTTTTATTGGGGCTCAAATATCTGGCTTAATTTGGAGATAAGCCTGGTTTTGTTGGAGGATAAATCTGTTGAGAAGGGGTTTAACTGTTGAAACGCTCCCTCTTTCTGGTGCAAATGGGAAGATTGCTTTTCAAAGTGCTTTTTCCTGGGAGCTCTCGCTCCGGCAGAATCCTGTATTTATTTCGGGCAGAATGGCACATTGTTTTATAAATATCTTTTCTGTAGTTTCAACATAGCTGCTGGTTGTTGTGTTTCTTATATAATGCTACCGAGATCTGTCTGACTGCCTTTCGTTTTCTTTACTGTTCTCTCCCATTATCGTTCAGATTTTCCTGCATAAAGTAAAAACCCCCGAGGGAATAAATCAGTGGTGCTTATTTAAACAGACCACAACTTGAAGGAAATACTTGCTTTTTTTTTTTTTGAAATATCCTTTGCCATCCACCAGTGGCATTCCCAAGGCTGCTCGAAACCATCGATAAGTGATTTTTGCAAGCGATCGCTTTTCCGCCTTGGCTCTGGGAGCTCGCCTTGGAGCCTTTGATGTCGGGTGAGGTGGGTTCCTGTGCTCCTGCCTGCCGTTGGTGAACTGTCTAAAAGCCTTGTTCCTCTCTCCCCTGCCTTCTCCGTTTTTCAGATGTGCCCTACTTTGGATATTCCTGCATTGAATGTCTGAGGAGCTCCGGCCGACCCTGAGCCATGTCGCAGATGTTGCACATAGAGATTCCCAACTTTGGGAACACCGTTCTGGGCTGCCTGAACGAGCAGCGCCTGCTGGGGCTCTACTGCGATGTCTCCATCGTGGTGAAGGGCCAAGCCTTCAAGGCTCACCGGGCGGTGCTGGCCGCCAGCAGCCTCTACTTCCGAGACTTGTTCAGTGGGAACAGCAAAAACGCCTTCGAGCTGCCGGGCACTGTCCCCCCGGCCTGCTTCCAGCAGATCCTCTCCTTCTGCTACACCGGCAAGCTGACCATGGCCGCGAGCGAGCAGCTGGTGGTGATGTACACGGCGGGCTTCCTGCAGATCCAGCACATCGTGGAGAAAGGCACGGACTTGATGTTCAAGGTCAGCTCCCCGCACTGTGACTCTCAGACCACCATGATCGAAGACCCCAGCTCGGAGCCGCAGAGCCCCTGCAACCAGCTGCAGTCGGCCTCGGCGCCCTACGTCATGTCCCCCTCCATGCCCATCCCGCTCC